ACTCTGGCCTTAGCCTCACTGTTTAAATAGGCCAGGCCCTGCCCCCTTCCGGTCACCTGACCAGACTGGTTGCCCCAGCAACCTGCACCTGTGCTGCCCTGGTGATTGGCAGCTGAGCCCATACTACTATTGTCAGTAGCAGGCACCTTAGTGCCCTGCTACAGAAGTGTATTTCTGTCTCTAACTGAATCACTAAATTGACCAAGGAAACAAACAAACAACAAAAGAAGAAAAAAATTGCAAGGACATATGAGCAATATGACACAAAAAAGGTGAAGTTTGGCATTAATCAGACTTTTAATTGAACCCAAAAGCTCATCCCCAGTATAGCTAATCTTCCCAGTCCAAGATTTCTCCCTCCCAAAAGCTTCTTTTCTAGTTGATTCTCTCAGTCTTCCTGCCAGGTTTATATTGCCTTTTTTATCAACCTCCTTCTTTCTAAACAAAGGCAAGCTTTATTCTTGACACACCTTCCAGGTTTATTCTCTCAAGTTTGACTTTCTGGTTTATAATTTCTATTAAGACTTCAGATTTATAATTTACGGCAGATTTCTCTTTCAGATTCATACACTAGATTTAAACTAACATTTTGCTCTTTTCCTGTGTTAGAACCCCCATTAATGTCCACCAGAGCTGACATCAGTGGGAACTCTCCACATGTACACAGAGCACAATCCAGGAGTTGAAAATCATTTTGTTGGAGAGTTATGGTTGCTAGTTGCATTATATTTCCAGTACATCAAGTGAATAATTAACGGCAGTTACAAATTGATCCTGTGAGGTGCTGAATGTCCTAAGCTCCCAGGGGCTCCAGTCAGAATTGAAGGCACTCAGCATACCTTGCAGATCAGTGTACCTTGCAGATCAGTTTTGTTACATGTTTTGTGATATAGAGTAGGTCCTAGATATACAGAGTGTCCAGGAAAGGTTATCCCATGAGACTCTGGGTTAGGTAAGTCGGCAGCTACAAAAACCTTGCAAGGGCAATAGTATAGCTGTTACCTCAAACTGTAAATAGCTGTATCTAAGTTCTGTATCTAATAAAGAGTTGTTACAATTACAATAGTTTTGTCAGCTGAACTTAAGCTTCATAAATTAATATGACTTTTCTATTTCTTAACATAGAGAGAGGTCCCAGAGAAAACTTCCCATTCCAGAACAACTTTGCCAGAAAATAGAGTTCTTCTGATTCATAATAAATGATACACAATTATTCTAAATTGCTGCTCATAAATGCATACAAATTCAATAGATGACACGGTCAATTGGATAAACATGATCATGCCGTGGAGCCAGGTGGAGCTGCTGTGGCCCCTCCTGCAAGGCCTGCCTAGTGCTGGTGACTCTGCACCACTGCCGCTGCCACTGCCGGCTTCATGTCCAGCCACTCGCCACCCCTACCCTTGCCCACTGCCATTGCTACCACCACTGGCTTCTTCATGTCTGGGCCCTGCACAGGCTGATTTTCCCAGGTCCTGCACCCTGCCAGGATCGTCTCTGGTTCTTCATGCTTGGATATGGTGTTCTCATTTTACATAATAGGGAAGATGAAAGACCCAAGCTGAAAAATTCAGATCCAAAAGCTTAAATTCCCCCTTGCTGATGTGCAATTTTCATATGTGAGTTTCCACTTAGGCCTATTTCTCTAAACTAGACCCAGAGCAGCCTCCAAGCTCCACACACCAGAGCATATTTTTTCTTATGTTCTCATTATATTTTCACAGTTTCCATCATTATGAAAAGAAGCCTGTTTAAATGAAATGGAAATCCATGGTCAATTGGGTCACATAACTTCCATGGGATTTAAAACACAAGTATGGGACTCTCTTCTGAGTGTCCACTGAAATGCTCACTAACTTAATCAAACTGGGAAAAAATGAAAGGAAGCTTCCTCAACTGTGAGTCAGAGTCACAGCATTATGAATCCAGGCCCATCTCAAGAATCTTCATCATCTAATGTGATGAATCACAGAATTCTAATAATAAATCACTCCTTATACATCCTAATGCATTAGAGCTGCAGTCTGCTTGGAAAGAGATTAAGAATTATAAACTTTGCAAAAAACCCCCAAAACCAAACCTGTAAAGCACCTTGCATATGTGTGTTTCCTGCTTTTTGTCAATAGTTCTTGGTTGCCACCTGCTGGAAGCTTGTGCTATATCAACCTATGACAAGCTCCCTCTTGCTTAGGAATTGTGTTACATCTGTGTTGTAACTGTTATTATAAAACTTTTTCTCCCTCTATTCTGGAGCTGTCTTAGTGTGTGGTGTAGTGACCTTACAAGTTTTACCATATTTCTCACCTTAATGTAGCTCTTTTAGTAGACTTAGCTTAGAAGCATGAGACTCAGTAGACCCAAAGGCATGAGAGATGATTCCGTCAGCGTAGGATAAATACAAGCCAGGTGGTATGGAGAAGTATCTGCTGTACTTTCCTGCACAGCATGCAAACCTATGTGAAAAATTAGTCACAAGATGCAAGACAACTTCCATGTAAATAGTGTTGATTATAAACAAGTCACTACAGCTCTCTGTAGTGTGTTTTCATGTTCAAAATTTGGTTGATTGGGTTTTGCTGAATGAGAGAGTTTATTATTCCTGTTCCCTGAATTTGCTGCCTATTCATTATTGGGTGAAACTTAATATGTGAGTAACTATCTATTAAGTACTAAATGGCGAGTGGGCTAGGTCCCAGTTACCGCTGAGATTGCCTCTCCATCTGTGTGCCCCTCCCACAAAGCGTGCATTTGGCAGGATTGCTTCACCTGTGTCTGTAATAAAGTGAAGCACAGTGCTCCCCTGTGTGGTTCTTTAACTGTGGAACTCTCTCTGGCCAGCAGTTTGAATGGAGCCCGGCCTCCTGTAAGCTGCACAGCAGGATGCAGCATCTTGCAACAGTGTATATGTTGCTTGTCAGAAATGTTAAATCTTATAAAGTTGTGTAACCTTCCCAAAATGATTGGAAGCATGATCTGTGCCAGAGGCAGGCAATTATTTCAGGCGGAGGGCCACTTACTGAGTTTTGGAAAGCCATTGAGGGCCGCATGACAGGCAGCCCGGGGCAGATAAATATTAATTTTCTAAATTTTTAGGGGCCCTGGGCCTGGATAGAGTGGCCTGGTGGGTGGCATCTGGCCCACGGGCCACACTTTGCCCACCCCTGATCTATGCCCATGGTGCCCAACCTTTTAGCCCCATGGATCAGATAAATGGTGCAGGGTTGGTCCTTAGGTGCAGATCCAGTTCATAAGCCTGATCTGGTGCATGGAACTTGCTTGGTGAGTGGCCCCAGCCCCACACGCCAGCTCTGGCCCTGACCCTATGCTCCAGATCTTGTCCACGGCCCTGATCCCCTGCAGAGAACCATGTAATCTGGCCCAGCGGGCTTGGAAATTTAGTGGCAGGGCAGCAGGGGTAGTGATAATTGCCACCAGTCCCCCACTGCCAAATGCCTTGATTAAGGGAGAGCCCTGCAAGCCATGTGGCTCTGCAGGCTGAATCCAGCCCATGGACCAGAGACTAAGTATTGCTGCTCTGTGCAGTTCAGTATGTTTCTTTTTCACAACATTTAACCCACCTAGTTTGATTATGCATTATGTCTTCATTAGTTTTCCTATTTGTTTCTTCATAGTAGACATTGAATGCTTTCTTCCTATTCAAGGAAGCAACTGCCTTGGCAACCAACTATATGTTGGGAGAGTGGGAAGCAGTCTTACAATTTTTCTTTGCTTTGCCACTTTACCGTTTGGCCAGCAAGGGGAGTTACAGGAACAATGCAGCGTACCTGTCCTAAGACTTCCTTAACTAAGAAGTGGTACTTAGCCTTGTTAGTCTGATGTCAAGCAGAAGACAAGGCAAGGTTGCACCATAACTCATCCCAAAAGGTATGAGCTTTTTTAAGGTTTATGGAATCTGGTGAAGTAGGCTGCAGTCTACAAAAACTTATGCCCTTTGGAATGAGTTAGTTTTAAGGTGCCACCCTGCCCTACCTTCTGCTTTAAGTAAGAGTGAAAATGCATCCAATCTCTACTTGGTCAAAAGAGTTCCTATATAAAAGAACAAATAAATTATCTTCATAGAAGCTCTCATTTAGCTCCTACTTAATTTTTTTCCTTGCTGTTGGTCAGCGAAAAGTAAATAATAGAAATAAAAAATGCTAGCCAAGCCTGATCGTGGAGACTTTTCAAGACTGAACTTGCTGAGGTTGCCCAGTCAGGTTTCGGCATGAGTATAAATTACAGTCATGCAATAAAGACCCCACACCATGAGTATAACTAGACAGGTTTTCCTTTATTTTATTTTTGAATAATCTATTTACTAACATATTTTGACCAATATGCTTTTTTTTGTGAATTTCTTCTGCTTTGGTGTTTCAAGCTTCAATCTTGAAAATAACTGCACTTGCTTAAATTTAAGAATATAAGTAGTCCCACTGGAGGACAGAAGCCCATAGGATCATAACACTGCTTTAGAAACACACTCCACCTCAGAACTCCCTCTGTGTGGGTGCTTTTGCTCTACAATTTAGATTTTAAGGTGCAAGTAGTAGAAGCAAACAGACACACAGACATCTTTCCCCAGGATTCTGACCTGGGAATACTCAACCTCTGGCCTGCAGGCCAAATACAGCCCATGAAGTCATGATAGCCAGTCTACAGGGATCCCTATGGATCAGAAAATTTGGCAGCAGGGAGCAGTGGAAGCTGCATATGGCCATATCTGCCTTGCCTAGAATATTCTCCCCTGTGGGATCAAGGGCACGCCTGCCTCCCAAATGTCCAGATGGTGTCAGGCTGCTCCCCCACCCCCAATCCATGTGTCCAGATCAGGACCACTCAGCCCCTGCTCTGCACCCCACACCCAACCTGTGTGCATCCAGATTGGGGCTGTTTAGCCCACGCCCCATACACATCCAGATCAAAGCTGCTGCCCCTTGCCACTCTCACTCCATCTGTCTAAATTGGGACTCAGCTACTTTCCCCTCCACCCACACGTTTGGATCAGGGCCACTCATGTATCTAAATCAAGGCCACTCTGCTCCCAAACCTACCTGCTGCATGTCTGGATTGGGGCCAGGATGATCCCTGCCCCTCCCCAGGTAGATGGATCAGGGTTGGGCTGTGCAACACCCTGCAACTGGATCAGGCCCATTGGTCAGATCCAGCCCACAGAGCTGAAAAGGTTGGGCATCACTGTTCTAAAACACTCTTGCTCTTTAATTGCCAACTTGCTTCTTGTCTCAGTATGACATGTTCCAAAGTCCTGATTGAAAAAAACAATAGAAACCAACTGAGGGTGAAAGTTTGTCTTCTCACAGAATCACAGAAATCATAGAAAATTGGGGTTGGAAATGACCTCGGGAGGTCACCTAGTCCAATCCGCTGCTCAAAACAGGACCATCCACAACTATTTTCATTCACCCAACTTCTAATGAATGCAAGATACTTTTCATTTAGCAGCTAAAGCCTGGTTGTAAAAAAACCAGGTAACAATGATGAATTTGCAAAGCAATGTCTTTTGCTCCAAGCAAGCTAAAGCACAGAAATCCACCTTGCTAGGCAGAATCATAAGGCTATTAGTGGAGGTATATTGGTAAGCTGTTCAATTATTCTCCTTTTCTAGGGACTTTAAGATATTTCTACCCAGGATCAGATCCATTAGTGGTGTAGATTCTCTGACAGATGCTTACTTTAAACAGCAGTGTACTTTCAAATGTGCTTCAGTGAAAACATGATTCTTTAGGAAGTGCACCATTACTTTCTATTTACAACTTGAGTGTTCATAATGAAATCAGGGTAGCAGATGAAACATGAAGTGATCACAGTGAATCTGACACTACAAGGTGAGAAAATACCACACTTTGTCTGACAATTCAAGATGCTGATGGAAAAGTCCATTCTTGAGGGTGAGTGTCCATTTCCATGACTTTCTATTATAACTGTTATTTGTTAAGTGACAGACTGTTGAAGCTTCTGTAGTCTCTGTTAAAATTTTGTCATCCAGTTAAAGGGAATAGTGAGGTGACACACTTGCCTTTGGAATCTCTCCCATTCTGGATACTTCTAAATATTTCTTGGAAGACAAGGCTAAGGTCTGGATCATGAACTTCTTGAAATCAGTCTCTTCCATGCCCTTGTATACTAATGCGAAAGAAGCAGTACAAATTAAAGGTAAAAGATAACTGATAGGCAGGTATCTGTAGGAGGCAGTATGCTCTCAAGGACAGAGCATAAAACATAGTCAGGAGACATGGGTTTTTATTCCTGGCTCAGCCACTAATGTATAAGTCACTTTTGTTCCCTGTGCTCAGTGCCTACTCCCCCTTTTGTCAGTCTTGTTGGTTTAGATTATAAACTCAACATGGCAGAGTCTATCTCTGTGCTTATTACAGTATCTAATATCATAGGAACTTGTCTTATATAAGGCTTCTGGGTGTTACTCCACTACAAATAACAATTACCCCATGTACTCCGAACACTAAAAAGCCTTTTTTTGTGACTCTGGAGTGGGAAAGTTCACTCCAAATGTCAGGAGAGTTCAAAAATATTCTCATTGATAATATACCAACATACTGTCTTATCATTCCCTATAATGGTATTTCAAATTATATTAGTTGAATGCACTGCTCTACTAGCAATATACTCAATACATTTTACAGTAACAAATAAAAAACATAACTGGGATAAAGTACATTTAATCTAAGAATGTTTGCCAGTGATTCCGCCTATCTCTTAGACTATGTATATGAAAAAAGGTGTTTTTTAAAGGGATCAGAAAGGGAAAAGATTTCTCAGTCCCACAAACCTCCTGTAGGCTAGAACAAACTCCTATGGGACTGATGTTTATCACAGACTAAGGCAGGGGCACAGATAACCTGTGTGTGGCATGTGGCAGATCAGGGAGGGGACTGGCAGTATGGCAGCAGATAGGAAAGGAAGCAGAAGGCAAAGCAGCAAATTGGGCAGGGAGCACAAGGAAGAAAGCAGAACAGCTCAGAGGTCAGAGTGGCACTTAGAGATGG